ATATTATTTTATTTTATTTTTTGTTTAACAGGATTTAAAGGAGTAATTAAACACCATTTCATCTAGTTTTCATTTTCCCCAGATTAATTAAAGTTATGTACATATATAACCTCGCCTCTCCCCCTCACCCCCCAAAAAAAATAAAATCCTGGATCCACTAGTGTTTGTTACAACAATACTTAAGAACACTTTTCTTAAATTTCAAAATTGTTTCGGAATTGGTCATTCTCTAACGATAATATATATATGTACTAATTTTATAACTCCTTTTGCACCTTACCTTCCCCGAATTCTCCACTTCAAACTTAATATTATAAAAGATGTAAAGTTATGTAAAAAAAATCACTGACAACTTCAATCTTAACGTAACTTTCGGAGGGGGGAGAGTTTTAATGAAGACCTTCCCAAAAATGAATAAATTCGTTTTTTTTTATTAGTTGATATCTACTTCTTTGATTGATCTGAGCTAAATACTCAAACAATAACATGCAAAAATAATAACAACAAAATGTACTCTTTTTAAATTATATTTTATGTACAGTTAATAAATGAAGCATATTTCAAGGAAAAATAAGTTGCTTATTGTTTCTGAAATTATTTTTATTTTTATTTTTAACAGGCCTTAAAGGAGTAATTAAACACCATTTCATATAGTTTTTATTTTCCCCAGAATAATTAAAGTTATGTACATATATAACCTCCCCTCTCCCCCTCACTCCCCCAAAAAAATAAAATCCTCGATCCACTAGTGCTTGTTACAACCATACTTAAGAACACTTTTGTTAAATTTCAAAATTGTTTCGGTATTGGTCATTCTCTAACGATAATATATATTCTCCACTTCAAACTTAATATTATAAAAGATGTAAAGTTATGTAAAAAAAATTACTGACAACTTCAATCTTAACGTAACTTTTTATAACGCTTTTCTCATTAGTTTTGACAAATAGGTAACAAAAAAAAAATTTGCTTGACAGAGTTTTATTGTTTTCATTTTCATGATTCCTGTGAGAGTTTCAAACATATAACTCGTATTTAGGACGGTAACATAATATAAGCTTTTTTTTTTTCTAAGTGGTTTTGAGCTATTTAAATTGAACATTAATGACCTACTTTTATCACTTTGATATACTCTACAATATGAAATCAACAGAGGCCAATAAACATAAATATTTTACCTTTCTTGATCCCTCAAAGAACCCCAGAAAAATAAAGTGGCCCTAAATATGAAAATAACTCGAGTATAATCAGCTTAAGTGAATGGTTTATCGTTAGGTCTCTTACTTTTTGCCATAAATCTATCATATATTTTATTTTGTAAATATACTCTACATTATTTGTGGATTTGATTTCACACTTGCTTCCTGTAGAAGATAGTAGTTAGAGGGTTATTTAAAGTTTGTGAGTGAAAGTTTATTAAAAAATGATCTGGCGTTTTAAGTTTTGTATTGTCCGGTTAGAAATTTGAATATTCACCGTTTCAGTTCTGGTAATAACAACTATAGCTAATTATAATTCCTTTAAATATTAACCTTTTTTTTCCTTCATTTGATGAAAGTTGATTTTTTCATCAATTTAATTTTCTGAATTTTAAAGAAAATGAAATTTACTAATGGATTTTAGGGATTTTTTTTTATTCACGAAACCAATTTTTTGCATTCAGATTATTTTAAAGTTTGGTCCTAACTGATAAAATCACAAAATAAAAAATATTGAAGGCATCATTCAAAAGCACTGTATAAGTTGAAAAGATATTTAAGTGAAATTTTTTAAAAATGTTTAAATCAAACTTTAAAATATTAATGATTTATTTGAAGAGAAGGATGGTTGGGGTGATTAAGTCAAAATAAAAAAAAAATAATAATAATATTTATTAAAAAAAAAATTATTATTTTTTTTCCTATTTTTTATTTTTACTGGTCACCTCAACTATCCTTCTCTTCAATTATTTACTACAGTCAACCATCAAAGATTTCAATTTCATCAATCAACAATTTCAAAGATTTATTTGTACTTTACAAGAATGTATAATAATTTAAGCAATGGTTTCGTCAAAAAACCATTTATCACAGTCACTGCACAATTCCTATCTAGTTCCACTCATCCCTACAATCTTTCACGAAGATTGAAGCGGCAGTGCCCCAGAGATCTTTTGTAGTATATATCTTGGAATTCTGGCAATGACCAGATTCTCCACTCATGACATAAGTGTGTGTGGCTAAAGGGCTCTCGCTCAATCTCCACTGGCTTTAGCACCAGTGACGCTGTTGAGAGAGTAGCGCAGGGATCTCTTGGAGTTCTGCTTTTCCCTCTATATTTAGAGCGACAAGCCTGGCATGGGACTCCCTGCCTGATCGTATTTATTTTATATGGGTATGACTGAGTTTTTAATTTAATTATCTTTAGGTTATTTTATTTTTTATTGTATATAGTTAGAGTGTGAATATCGGAGTGTGAATGTGATCTGTGAACTCTATTATAAATGTCCTAGAGACAGATTGTAATATTTCTAAATAGAAAAAAAAAAAAATTAAAGTTACATGGTGGCGAGGGAGATGTACTGGGGTACCAAGGATTCTTGCTTTACCTTTCATACGTGGGGTGATCCTCAGACCAAAGTTGTTAATATTGCATATAAGTGTGCATGTTATTGTAGGCCTTATTTTAGTATTAGCATATTACCTTGCCTTACTATAATTTATTTTTATTATAATTTTTGTTCTTTCAATTATGCATATGGATATTTAATGCCAAGTTTTGGTATAGATACAAATAATTTATCATCACTGTTACTTATAACCCAATGTTGTGGCAGATTGCAATATTTATCAATAAAAAAAAAAAAAAAAAATGGGATAGTTACTTAAATTGCGGTAAATGTTTATTTTATATTTCATTCGGAAATCCTATATTTGCTGGAAAATTTGATAAAATATATAGCCCTAATTGGAAAACATCGCAATACAAATAAAAAATTTTTAGGCTGTATTATGTTATTGATTTGTCCAAATTTTAACAACATTAGGGAAATGTTCGACAAACATGTAGCCTTGTCAGAATATGCAACAAATATCTTCTTTAAAACATTAATCCATACATACACTCGAATTATTTCGGGTATGATATGGCTGTAAGGCTGGAACAGGAATAAAAAAAAAATAAATCACACATTATTATCTTTATTTTATTGATAATAAATAAATTTGTTATTTTTGGTGTAATATTTTTTTAATATTGTACTATGAAACAATGTCCCAGACCTGTAGATGTTTCATCTTAATAATGACTAAATAACAGACAATAAATCAGAGGTTTATAAGACAATAATAACTATTATTTTGAATGGTTAATTTGATTCAATTAATACATGCACAAAAAGAAATAATAATTTTGATTTATGGCTTTTACTTAAATACATGTAAAAATAAAAAATATTTTCAATGTTCTTAGCGATTGAAAAACAACAACAACTTTAAAACATTCAATTGCAATATTTTATTTTGTTTTTTTGTTAAAAATACAAATCTTGAATTATCAAAAATGTGAATCATACTTTCTTTCATCATAAAATTTTTTCGTGGGTACCTATTCTAATAAAAAGGATAACAAAAAAAAAAATGACAACATAAAATATTTTATTTACAACGATAAAACGATTTAATTTTAATAATTGATTATTTTATATTACAAATATATAGAAAATAGACTTAGGTTTGTTACACATAATGTGACTGACTATACACATATCTAATACATAGATAAGGCAATCTAGTATCTATATTAATATTATCACGCTATGTGACGAACTCATTTGTATAAAGGTACATACAGTGCATAACGCTAATAATTTATTCAGCTAACCAGAAATGACAAACGAATTGAAATAAATACAATTCATTATAATTTCACATTGGTACTAATCTGAACAGCAATACAAACATGGGGAACATATTTCAGTTGTATATGTTAATTTATAACCCATCTTTCAATATTACAAGGAACCAATCTTGTTTACTGTAAACGAAAAAAATAAAATAAAAACATAGACCCAGCCCATAATTTCACACTATATTTGATCCAAATTACACAAACGTATGAGTAAATTTATAATGTTGAAGTATATATGTATATCATAACATATTTTCCAGAAGATATACAAACGGGCAAGCTTCAGTTTGCTTATGTTTTTATAATAAAATAATATATGTATATATAAAATATCTATTTTTTTTTTTATATAATAATCACTACTTTAACAATTTAAATATTAGTTACAACACAAATTTCATTATATTATTTCTATTTCTATTTCTTTAATACAACAAATATTTTTATTAAAACTTCAGAACTATGTATATAATATAAATTCTCCATAATGATGTGTACATAAAATCCATATTTCGGTCTAAATCTAAAACTATTTCATATTCACAGTGATTTTCTATTTTTTGGTCCTATAAGTATGTCATGCATGGCCCTTGATAATGATAAAATGTGAGGAATAATGGGTTATATCCTATATCGACCTAAGTTAATTAAAATGTGTGCTGAAGCACTATAAATTATTTTGATTGTGTACCATATTTTATGAATGCCCCCTATAAAATCAAAAAAAACAATTTCCATCCGACAGACTTGCTGTATTGGCTGTCAGAATCAAATCTTAAATACAAGATCAATCATAAAAAAAGGTAAATTCCGACGAATTCAAATACTATACTTGTACTCATCAAGCTAACCTCTCTTCATAAATACATCGATTGAGGGATAATACGATCCACATTTGGTTTTCTCACCATACTGTTAACTTAAATAACGTAATGTACAATATAAATTACAAATAAAACAACATGAAACACAATATTTACATGCAACACAACGACTATACACAAGTGTAACAACAACAAAAAGTAAATGAACACAAACTCGGCCGATTCCACAGATAAGAGAGTCAATCTCGGGTCGGGGTAAACTGGTACAGGACTGGTTGAGGACTGGTATCAGACCTCGAGGGAGGCGGACTGCGTGGCGAGGAGGCAGGGCTTGACGAGGTGGTGCGAGGGCATGTCTCGGATCTTGTCGTCCCCGACTTCGGCGAACCCGCTCTCGTCGCTGTCCTCCTCCGACAGGGAGTCCAAGTCGCACTGCCGCAGAGGGCGACAGGTGTCCGAGCCGCTGGATATGCTCTGCAGCGAAGGCGTCGACTCCTCCTCAAGGTAGTCCAGGTCCGGGTACAGTTTGGTGAAGGCCGCTTCTAAACTCTCCATTCCCGGATCCAATAACGAGTCTAAAAGTTTTTTCCTATTATCTAACAGATCGTTACCGACGTCTTTCCCTATCGACACGTTTTGAATAAGATCTGGCGGATCACTTTTCAAGTCTGTCACAAACACACTTCCTGATATGTCTTCTCCTCCCCAAGACATCCTAACGATTGCTTTCCTCTCCCTTTCTACCTGAGGATCGAATATTACTTTTTCTTCTTTGTCTTCTCCAGTTTCGTCGAATCCTTTGAACTCTTCTTGAAGATCGAATTCTCCAGGTACATGTACTGAATCTTTTCCCCAGACGTCATCGGTGAATGACTGTTGAGGAACTCGCATCCTAGTCCTGAAACTCCTTCTGACTTCGCCTTCCTCTTGCTCTTCTTCTAAACTCTCTTCGATAGACATCAATTTAGGAGCAGATTTGGACCTCTCCAAAGGAGGCCTGTAGTTCTGGGAACCGGTCGATAGAAGGATCTTCCGCCTAGGGAGAGATGGGTTGTCGTACACGGCGTTGGCTAAGGACAGCCTGGCGTTCTGCTTGCTCAGCTTGTCCCTCTTGAACTCGAGCAGGGCCTGGGCGAGCCTGAAGCTGAGGTCCTGGGCCATTCTGCGGGCGATGCTCTCCTTGCTGCAGAGGACCGCGTGGCAGCGCAGCTCCTGCTTCAGCTTCCTTCCCTCGTGCCTATAGACCCAGCAGAACACCTTGGGGTACGCCGGGGGTGCCAAGCAGTAGGTGATACGGTGGCTCCAGTATTCGGTGAGCCCATGTTCTTTTGTCAGAGCCTTTAGTCCTGACTGGGTAACGGTTACTTTCATCTGAACATCTGGTTTACAAGAGCTTTGGTAGTTTTTCCAAAGGGTACACAGCGGCTTTTCGACGCATCCATCTCCTGAAACACAAAACAAAAAATAGATTAGAAACCATAACTAAATTTCCAAGGTATGAAAAATAAAAATAATAATTTTATGGCTAAAGAATGGTTTAGTATATTAAATAAGAATTAATGCATAAATAATTCTTCCAAGTCAAAGAATAAAATAAAGACAAAATTCAAAGTACATATTCAACTAATAAGAGATTCATAATCATTAATATGTAAAAAATGCTCATTTTAACTGAAATTAATATCTAATGGTTTTAATAAATATTTCTATATTTTTTATTTATATTTCATTATCAATAATAATCTAAGTTGATACTATGAAGTGGTTGTATGTCAGACTCACTTTTTGCCCAGAAAGACAAGGTTTTGTCCCAAGATAATAGAAGATAAATTGTGTTATCAAACACAGTGATTATATACATACACTTATGATTATATTCATTAAATGTGGTAAATAATAGTTTCGTTCAAGTTATAAATTATGAGATTATATTTAATGAAACGATTGCATATTTAATAATTTAGGTGACCATATATCCGGAGAATTGAACGGAATGCTGTTTTTTTCCAGAACTGGAGAATTGAAAATTATTTAATGGGATCCCTAACAATGTTGGGGAGTCAGACATTGTTGACAGAATGGGAGTATAATAGTTTAATCACATTAACTCCTTATCAGGGAGATGCTATAGCTGCCAGACTACCATGTCCTAATGACATCCGTCAGTCGATGTAATCTCCTCTAACAACCATTCATTAGTTCTAATACTTCTCGGAAACAAGGGGAATTGTAAGGAAAATGAAGAAAGTGTCTCAGTCAAAGGGAATTCAAAGAAGGGGGGAGGTTTGAATAACTCCAGATTTCGAAATGTTTTTCGATTAGAATAAAAAATAAAAAAAAAAACTATCGCGTTAAAATAACAATTTTTATAAGAGAAAATATAATTTTTATGTATATTTATTAAAGATATCAACAATATATTTAGTCAATTTTGTTTGGCTCTATTATAGAATACAATGGCTCCATATTAATATCCTTAATTTAAGTTTAGCAGAAAATTAGTTCACTTCGGCAGGTTGAAAACCGTGCTTTTATCTAAATTTACTGAGCCTTCTTTTGTGGCACTGTAACTCTCAGAGAATGATGGAATTCTGCAATTTAATCTACTCTATCTCTAAACTCTAAATAGAGGAATGCTTAATTATTATGAAGTTTATTCCAATAATCCTCTAACAATAAGAACCTTACACCCGTAATGGTTCTAGTTATAACTTCATGATTAATTCGTGACTGCATTTGCTGATTTTTTTATGAGTCTCATAGATTTTGTGAAAACATTTTTAGCTAAATCTAGGTATGAAAATATTGGCGTACCACGAATATTTGGGCTAACGTTAATAAATAAACCGACCGATTTTCAAAGATCAAACAACCTTATGTTTATGAAAAAGGAGTCCTTTAAGACAATTTGAAAACACAATGTCATTAGAGATTTTTAGAGATGGGTAAATAGTTGACAGTTGAAATTATAAGAACGTCAGGAATGAAGAATGAAAAAAATAATGGCCGGAATTTTAGTAACAATTTCTTTAATGACATTTTCGACCCAAACATGTATTTTACCATCAGGGCTTTGGTTCGGAAGAATAACAAGACCTCGAATATTAGGATCAATTATAAACATCACAAATATGAGCCATCCTATTATTAAGTTTTTTTTTTATTAACTTATTTATTATTCATTTTATATTTTATATGAAAATAAAGTTTTTCTCAATTGTGTTTTTCAGTATTAAATGTTTGACCAACAACAAAATGTTCATACTTTTTTTATTTGTCAAATTCTTGAAATAGGTAGGTTGTTTTATTTATTAACGTTGGTCTCTAATATTTGTAATATACTAAGGTATATAAATAAAATTTAATAACAGCATTTACTCTCCCAACAATTTTTCTTTATTTTTATGACGTTTCGCGATCACTTTCTTCTTATCCCATCTTCAGACAGTATCTCATCCTACTATCATCTTATTTTTTTAAAAAGATTTGTCATATTTTTTCATAATTCATCCCTTAATTATATAGTGAACTCCTCTAGGGAGAGCCTGGATGAGTCCACAATATAATTCAGGGATGAATTATGAAAACACAAAAATAAAAAAAATTATGACAAATCTTTTTTAAAAAAATAAGATGATAGTATGATGAGGTACTGTCTGAAGATGGGATAAGAAAGTGATCCCGAAACGTAAAAAAAATAAAGAAAAATTGTTGGGAGAGTAAATGATGTTATTAAATTTTATTTATATACATCAGATAAAAATCACCTCTCTTAAGACTTATGATGTAACATATTAATATTCTAATATTTGCATGTCTAGATTAACCTTTAAAAAATCAATATAAATTTAAGGGACACATATGAAATCCTTATTAGTCATCTGATACTCAAAATAAATTGACTCTTGAAATATTCCTCCATTAATAACTAAGAAAAGAACTAGCAATATTGGGATTGAGTAGGCGACGGGATTGTAGAGCAGAAGTCTGTTGGGCCTTTCTAGTCGGCACAGCCAGAATGGCGCAGGTTCCCTTTCCGCCTGGCAGAGCTGAAATTATTCCACAGTAGCCATTTTCTGCTAAACGGAGGCTCCCCCCTGTTATCTAGATTTCCTCCTCGAAATGGATAAAAACAAAATTTAAAAAAACATCGCAAAATTCAGGTATTTCAGTATTCCCATAAATAATTCTGAAAGCTTCCAATAAATAAATTTAAAAAAAATCTACAAATTCAACGTAGTTAGGTAATCGTACTAAATTTAATTTTGTGAAGTAATGGTAAACAGACTCTAGCTAAGTTCTATGTAGTATATGAATAAATTAATGTTTTTTTAACATGAATGAGGATATCGGAACGGTAGTTTCGAAAATAATATATAATTTAGTGATCAATACAAAGCGTATATGTTTGTTTTTATTTATAATGATTTTTTTTAATAAGCATTTAATATAAATACATATATTCATAAAGGTTGATGGACAGTCGGTAGCGGACTGCGTCCAGCATGAAGGTCGCCTGAACCTGGCCTCGGGTGCACACGAAAACGTGATCTCCATTACCTGTGCGCTGTTCTTTGATTAACTCGACAAAGACAAACAACATCTACATGTGTGTCTGTAGTATTGACCGTAGGCTATTCAAAGTTGCAACATGTTTTTTTTTTCAACTATCAGTCAGAATCAATTTAGCGATATATACTGTAAATCTCAAACGTTAATTAGTGAATAGCAAAAAAAAAAATTATTGCAACAGGGGTGTATGTATATAAGAAATAAAATACTACGTATGAAAAATTGATTTTTATTGGACAAATGTCAAACTGAGAATCCGCATACAAGACTGAAACGATAATAAACTTCTCGAAGTTTCCAGCAGCTTCAACAGTTACTACACAAACGCTGAAAGGCATATTTGCATGACTATAACAAGGCCTATTTGGACATTCGAAGTTGAGCTTTGGGGCTTCACTAAACTACCGAATTCCCCTCGTGTTCAATCCTTACAATCCAAGATCATTCGTAAAATCCTTAATGCTTCACATTATTTCACAAATAAAATTATTCATAAAGATTTCAATGTTCCATTTGTCACTTGTTTGGCCCGATCCAGATACCAATCCTCTCATGATAAACTCCAGATAAAATTAAATGATACTCCCACTCATTTCCAACCTTGGTTCCTCCTCGATTCCCGATAATCCTCATAGGCGTCTGAAAAGAAGATGGCCTCTGGATCTTCTTACTTTGAACTATTTAATAAATATTTTTTAAAATATAATACTAGTTATTACTCGCGGCAAATCTTTCATTTCCGCCATGACGTTTTAATTCAAACAGGTTAGAGTCCTATGTTTAAGATTGATAATAACTATACAATACATTAATTAATAACTTCTTTATTGGCGCTTCGCACTTTTTTTTTAATAGTGAATTAAGTATGTTAAGTCGGCTCATTTAGGTAAACTCGGCTCGAGTCGACTAATTTTTACATTTGGATTAAAATATCTCGGAAAATAAAAATCTATCCTCCACATTGTAAGCAAAAGAAATTCATCCTTATTGTAACGATTTATTATTCATAATCGGATCTTGACGAGAAGCTGTTTTAAAGAAGAAAAATGAGAAAAATATAGCGCCAAAAAAACAACAACAAATAATGACTGTTTTGAATAGTTGGACTAAAATATCTCATAATTTAAATACAACGGAGAATTTAAAAAACAATTTGCAGAAGGCAATATAGATTTTTTTTATGTGAAAAATTCTTTTGACGCGTTTTGCACTTTTTTTGTGCACCGTGAATTAGATTGAACCGTTAGATCTCCAATGTGTAACCCTCGGGTAAAATCGGCAGAAGTGACTAATTGAAGTGTCTTTGCATATGGATTAAAATATCTCCAAAATCGGATCTGCAAACTTAAGTTCAGCATTTAATCATCTCTGTAATGAGCTATTATTTATAATTTATATTCCATATTAATAATCTTGCCTTGTTATAAGCACAAATGTTTTTTTTTTACTGTAAGTTTGATTCACTAGGTGCTTTTGAGCAATGAATCGAAGCTTAATTAGTCCTCTAAAAAAAATAAACCAAATAAAAAAAACAGAATATATAATTTAGTAAAAAAACATACTACATTGTGTTCTTTTTTCATGGCTTGATTCTTTTGCACTGACCGTTGTTACCAATTGGTTAGACCATCTTATTTTTTTTAATTTCCTAAATAAAACTCTATCCCATTCTCTCCTACATAATGATACGGTAGATCAAAGAAGGAGATTGAAATAACTCCTGGGAATAACATTAATAAATATGATCTAATTTTATACTTCAATAGATCATGAGATATAAGATAGTAAAGAAGCAATTATAAGTTTAATGGTTAGATAAACAGAAAATTCAATTCGTTATATAACAGACAATAATACTTCGTCATTTTGAAATGGCTTCGATTTGTCGTTAAATAAAGATATTCGCTACATTTACTTATTTTATACAGCTTTCAGAGGTTTTATTAATTTTTCATTTTGCCAGCATTGTCATTTGCGATGAAACTAAAATTAGTTGCATTCACTAGCAAGGACAATGACGCAAGTGAATGTTGAAATACGTTTCAAAATAATGGACAGTATTGTAGTATATAAACCTAATTATTATATTTAAATTAAAATGATGAGTGAAAAAATTGATTTGAATTGCAACGGCTTGATTATTACAATAACAATCAATGCTTAGAGGTTTATTTATTATTTATAGCTGATTATAAATTATTAGAAAATCGAATCCGTACTTTACAATGCTATTAAGTAAAAATTATGAAAAATTCACATTTATAATAAAATAAATGAATAGTTAATCTTAAATTAAATTAATTATTTTTTCGAATTGAAGAGTGGTTGGGGTGTTCAGTAAAAAAAAAATGTAAAAATAATTAATTATATTTATTTTTTATATATATTTATTTATTATATATATTTTTTATTTTTTACATATTTTTATATTAATAATTATTTTTTCATATTTCGAAGATTTTTTTTTTGGTATAGTCATGGCTCAGTAACTAAAATATTAGTTGATACTACAAAAATAACAAGGCAAAAATCTATCAATTTGTTCGTTCAACCAAAAATAAATAAATATTATTTATTGTTTTCAATTTATAAATATAAGGATGTGATATTATATAAATAGGCAAAGACAAAACAGATCAATACTTTTTTCCCCTTTGTTTCTTAACAGAGTATCTTTATTTTTTTATTTTAGTAGCTTTTGACAAACATAGGTGTTTTCAATACATGTTTATGGAAACAATGTTTACAAATGATTATGTATGTGTCAGTTTCTTCAAAACTGCTAATATCTGAAAGTTCTTTACCGATTGCTTTGAAATTTCGATACTCAATACTGCAATCAAATTCAGAAGTGTTTTTGTTTACATTTCATTACTATCCGTACTTTCGATTCCAAATAGCGGACGAATATAGCACCAAGACGGCTGTAAATATTTTAATGAAACTTAGCCAAAGTCTTCTCCTAGAAGCCTTTTAATTTATGTAACAATGTGAAGATATTCAGCTTTAGCTAAAAGCAGCCACGCACGGTTTAATGAAATGAGCTCTGATGTAGTTTAATACCTCAGGTTCTGCAATTGACGGCTAATTGTTCCAATTGACAAACAATTTAACCACACTTGTCGCCTGCCGGTGCGATAAGTGGGCTGGCCTAGATCCAACTTGGAACAATCCCATATAATTCTACAAATCCCCAGGTAACAGTCCCGGTTGTAAGCGGAGCAATACCTGGTTAAGGCATTAGCAAGGTAGGCAGGTTGTAGTTTGGATGTTTCAACTACACGTTCGCTGCAAATAGGAAATCAGGCTACCGATATGTCTAACTCCAACTTGGTAATTTCATGAGGACCAAGTTTCGAAATAGGTCATGACCAGTAGGAGTTGTACATGACTTTAAAGGAACCTTTAGTATACTTTAAATAACTGTACTATAATTTTCGAATATTTAAAAATTTTGGTTTCCTACATTAAATGCGGATCAAAGAGGCAAACAGCATAAATACATTTTTGAAAAAAAAAAATAGAGTTAAGTGCATGGCTGACCTGGAAGTTTGTTTATCTACAACACAGTTAAGAATATTATTATACAGAGCGTCCCTTAAGTAGAGGGAAATATTTATAGAAGTCATAAGAGACCTCAAGAGATAGGCAAAAGTTCGTATAAACAATGGTCCGATTGTCGGCCAAAAAGGTAGGAAATTTAAGTTCATAATTTATATAAGACAAACTTTACTTTAAATTAAACTAGAGTAGAGTATGTCATTTTTAAAACTTTTTAAATAGGATTTTTGATTGGCTAAACTAAGCTAAGCTAAAAATGGACAATAGTTCATTTTAAACAATAGAAGAGGAGGAACTATGACTACCTTATACTGGGATTTTGTATTGACATACAGTTGATTAAATTCGAATACAATTTTTATTAGTTTTGTATAGATTTTGAATTATTGTATTGAAAGTAAACGGCAATAAAATTGTATCGTGTGCAATTGCCCCGGGACGCCTTTTGGGGGCGCCGCCCAATCTTCAGAGGCGCTCGCGACTTATTAGAAATAAAAAAAATACAAAACGTATAAAAATAATCAAATTTACCCTATTAATATAGCAACTGTATTAGAGAAATGTTTAATGAAATAAAATTCCAATATTACATAATATAGAATAGCTTAACAAATAAATTTAATTTTTTTGGGGGGGGGCTGAGGGTAGATGACGTCATGACCCGGAGGCGCCGAATGCCTAAGGGCGGTACTGATTGTATCATATGGAAATTTGTTAGATGTCATAAACTTTGGATAGGTTTAAAATCAGGCTTGAAACGTTGTAATGACCTAAATGGAAAGCTTTTATGGACATTTCATTTCTTGAAGACACCGTATATAAATACTTATTTGGTTTCCATTTATTCTTATCCTTATCATGATAATATTGTATTTTTCTATAGGGAGTTTGTAAATAATATTAATTTTTAATTAGTTAATTTTATTAGTTTAATTGAAATGTTGCGTAGCGTAAAAAATGTAGCTTTAGAAATGTTTTTTTTTTTTTTTATGATATTGTCCAAAAATAAAATAGATATAGATAAAAATAAATAAATCTTATTTGAGTTTAATTTATTAAACATAAATGAGGAAAAGAACATTGAATCATAACAGCAAGGAAAGACATGGGCGTGACGGTATACCTACGTGTATGTCAGAATGATGGCCTGCGCCTGAGAGAACAAAGAATTAAAGGACCTCGAGATCTTTCAATGTTAAATACATAATTTATTTATAATTTTAAATTAATAAGCAGTCTAAAAATTTAATTATTAAGCAATTGATGTTGAACGAAATTAATCCAGAATTTATAAATCTGAGCCTTATTATTATAAGTAACTGACCATACTATACAAACAAACTTTAAATATATAAATATATACATTAAGATTATCAAACCTATTTGAACATACGGAATTGAACTTTGGGGCTGCAAAAAAATTC